CTTGTCATATGCTTGTGGGTTTCTCTTCTACATATATGACAGCACAGCTACATCAGTTTAATTGACCTTGGCAATCTGCATCTGCTAGTGATGTGTCCCTGAGGGACGGTTTCTGCAATGTTGAGCTGTGGCTTATTGAAGAACTTGTGTGTCACAATACAATTAAGTCTATCTAAAAAAAATCATTTCATGCATAACATTAAATTGACTAAAAGTTCCTATTTCAAAACCATTTCTTGTTTTAAAGCTACCTCAGAGTGTCTTTGTTTTTTAAATAAGCTCATTCGAACATAGTAGTAATTAAAGCAGAAAATTAACATAAATCTTGAATGTTTGGTATGAATTAAGGATATTTTCATTCTTTTTAAAGACTGCATAAAATTCCAGGCACCATATCATTTAACACGTTTCTCTCCCATTTGCAGAATAATATAGACTGTGAATAAGCATGTTTTGAGTTCTTTTTCTGTTCAACTGTGGAGCTGCTGGGACATATGCTGCAGTCTCCATCAAGATGCAATATCATGGAAATTGTGGGAAAACTGCATGATCGTAGCAGAAAAATCCTCTCCCCCCACCCTCGTTATTTTATAAACAAGAAAGAAAAAATACAATCCTTCCATTAATATTCATTTAACACTTCATAGGAAATGGCAAGCAGTTATTTGGTTTGCAAATGTAAATATACATTTTTCATCTACTTATGCTTTCACTCCTTCCAAGCTAAATGAAGGCAGAACAGAAGATATGCTTCTGAGATTTATTTTCATTGTATTCTGAGTTAAATGTATCAGCAGAGATGTAAGAGAGCTGTGAGGAGTTCATAGAAGGATGGTTACAATGATGAGGGGGATGAAAGTCTTCCTCACAAGAGGTAGCTAAATAAATGAACTCCTTTCTGACAAATTAGGAATAAAATGCATATGGATTTTCTTCATTGAATCCTTGAATTGAGTTCTAAGTTAAATACTTTGGAGCTTAAAAAGTATGGTTAAATAATAGAAATAACTACTATATTTCAGAAGAGTCATTGAAATCATGAAAGGTGCTATTTGGATCCATAATCAGATTCAACAAAGTTTCAATAAATTCCTGAATTTATATTCTTTCTCTCTCTCTCTCTCTCTATACACACATATATAAAACATATGCTTAAATAGAGTCCACTGTGCCTACAGGGAAATGAGCCTAACATTTGATGTTCAGGTTGCAGTGAACAGTCATTCTTGCATTAGTTGCTTAGTGCCACTGCTAGAAAACTTTTTTGACCTACTGTAGCATTGCTTGTATTCATGTAAGTTGTCCATGTTGTACTTTTTCAATGATCTTTTGTAGATATTGACAAATCAAAATATTAGGTATTAAAATGGAAATAATCTTTATTTTGATTGATGTGAGCTTTGCTATAATATGTTAATAACATCATACCCAACTGCTTGACCTCTCATTGTTTTTTCTGTTTATTTCTTAAATGAAGCTGTGAACTTGTTAAACTTGAAGGCCTCCAAAAAGAATAGGGGGAAAATTCAGTAGATAATTTTCAAAAGGGGGCTGAGATAATTTTCAATATGAAAGAAAAATCCTTTTCGATTTTGGAAACAGTGTCAGAGAGTTTGTTTGATTATTAATGAAGTTAGCTAGATACTACAAATGATAAAATAATTAAAACAGTTGATATTCAGGTCCAAGAGTTCAAAGTATAAATGAGTGAAATATTGAGGAAAGAAAACATATTTTTAAAAGTAAACTTGAGTATGTATGAATGTTTAGGGATATTTATATTTATAATTATATATATATAATATAATAATACAATGCATATACAGTGGAAAGACCTATAATAGAAAAGCACTTTTTAATTTTTTTTGTGGTGAGGAACATTAGCCCTGAGCTAACATCCGTCGTCAATCCTCTTTTTGCTGAGGAAGATTGGCCCTGGGCTAACATCTGTGCCCTTCTTCCTCTACTATATACACTATATATATATATACTATATACTATATATACATACTATATATGCTATATACTATATATATATATATATACTATATATACACTATATATACTATATGTGAGACGCCTGCCACAGCATGGCTTGATAAGTGGTGCACAGGTCCATGCCCAGGATCCAAACCTGCAAACCCTGGGCCACAGAAGCAGAGCATGCATTAACCACTTAACCACTATGCCACCAGGCTGGCCCCAGAAAAGCACTTTTGAATTCACAAATAAATGCTCCTGGAGTGGCTTACAGTGTTAGTGCTAAATATTGTCAGAAATGCAAGAGTTACTTATTAAACTTATAGTAAGGTCTGCTGACTACTTATTGACTGAGTTAGTGATGGAGCTCTAATATTAAAGTGAATCATACTATATACATTTTTAAATTATAAGAAATTATAAAGCACATTACTTAAGAACTTCAATTGAATCCAGCAAATATTTATTCAGCACCTACTGTGTATAATGCACTGTGCTCAAGAGTAGATTCAGGTTTTGTGAGTCCTCAAAGTATATAATTTGAGGACTCCTCTATAAAAAAAGAAAAAATTACAAATTCAAATTTAGAAACAGGGCCTTAAAAGAGTTCCGTGCAAGTGAGGGACCCTGAAACTTAAGCTTCAAGAATGTCACACTATCTATGTCTTTGACTCTAATAGCTGCTGTGGGGAATCAAAAATAACTAAGGCATAATCTGTACCTTGCTCAAGTTTAGAGTGAATTCTGTGCTAACCTTCAAGGATATTCCTGTAAAAAATGAGAAAAATGTATAAAAGGGCTTTGACCTCCTAGTGAAATAACTTTGAATTCCTTTTCATTTAAAAAATCATCTTTATTTCAGATCTCTATGTAGGACGAAGTTGTATCAAAGTGTTGGACAAATAAGGTCATTTCTTCTACAGGAGAATTACTTTTTACTATATATATAGTATGTATACTATATACTGTATTTACTATATACTGTATTTACTCTATACTATATTTACTATACTACATATATAGTGTATACATATATAAAACCCATTACATAAACCATTCAGTGATGGTGTGTTACAGTTACCATTATTATAATAGGTTGAATTGATGAGCCATGCTCACTATTGACTTTCTTCCAACTCAAGTAACTGTCAACAGATGGTAGTGATGATCTGTTATGCAATGGGGAACAAATGATAAAGGTCTCTTTCCATGTGACCTTTCAAGACATTAAAAAAACTTCTCAAAATGCCATTCTGCGTTGAAAATAATTACATGAATACTTAATTTTACTCTCAATGAAAGATGAAATTGCATCAGAGATACAAACAGTAGCAGATTTTTAAATAAAAATGTAAGCTCGATAGCATTGATCCATCCATTCATTCATTCATTCATCTGTTGAACTGAGTGTCTCCTATGCTCCAAATGTTGTGCCAGGCTCTGTGGTACAGCGACAAGTAGCACAGACACATTCCTGTTCTCATGCAACCTACAGTCTTGTGGGGAAAACACAATCAACAATAGTCCTTTAATAGTTTTCTAAAATTCTAATATTCTTTGAGTAGAAAGCTACAAATATGTACCAGGGTGTATTTTTATGTTTTTGTTTGTTTATTTGTTTTTATTTTTTTGCTGAGGAAGATTCACCCTGAGCTAACATCTGCTGTCAATCTTTCTCTATTTTGTATGTGGGTCACGGCCACAGCATGGCCGCTGATGAGTAGTGTAGGTCCGTGCCCAGGAACTGAACCTGGGCCGCCAAAATGGAGTGCGCCAAACTTAACCACCAGGCCATAGGGCTGGCCCTCTATTTTTATGGTTTTTTTTTTTCTCTTATTTCTCAGAAGAAATTGGTTTTAGGTGTCATAATAACATTTTTCACATCTGATTATTTTATTTTAAACTTGACTCATTAATCTATTCAACTACTGACTTTTGTGTTCCAAGATCTTCCAGTCTGTTCTGCTTTGGTTTAAGTTGTTATATTCTCTTTTGAATTGGACTAGAGAATAGCTCTTTAGTCTGTCTGGAGATGCTGTACTTAAAATTCATGACATGAGTACCTGGAGAGAACATTTTATCCTAAACACTGACTCAGTTTGCCCCATCATATATGGTGTTGGTTACTTTTCTTCATTTCTTCTCTTGATCAACCCTTTCTCTAACTTCTGTTCTTTTATCTCCTCCAAACATCAGGATCATGTGTCTAGTCAGAGTTTCCTTTAAATATTTTCTTAAGGGAACTCACCCTCTTCTTTCTTCCATGACTCGTATAGATTCATTGGAACACAGCGTATTTGCCAAATAATTTAAAACTCTTTTACAGAGCAATTTCCACAAGGAACTAGCAGTCATGCTGGCATTTGTTGATTTTTACAAAATAGAAACTGCTCGCTAAATGTAACTATATTCTATGTCCGTTAAATTGCTTAACATTAACTGCAAATAATTTGGTAAAAATGTAGAAGACTTTGTCTTGTTTTATTTATAAAACTTCTTGCTGTGAAAGTAAGAGATTTTCCGTTGACCCAAATCCATGATATAACTTGCACCTGTGAAACACAGGAGCAAGTTTGGGATCATATGAGCAATAACAAATCTGTAAAAATAATGGTTATGGACAAATGAAGTTTTAGAAAATGCACTGTATATTCATTTAAAGGGATTTAAAAGGACTTTATATCCATTAAAATCTTTAAAGGGCTATACTTTCCTTCTTCATGGATCCATACTTCTTAAACATAAATACCAGATCTGAAACCTTGCCCAAATCTGGGTTCTTTAATTCTACATGTGAGGTGTATTTTGAGTTGGTCAAGTAAGTAAACTTTGAATGTGTTGTTAACTGAGACATTTAATTAACTTTCTGTTTTTATGGTTCATTAAAAACAACCTAGGGATTGTTTGAATCCCTAGAACAATAATTAAATCATAATTTTTCTTAATTTTCAAATTACTGTTATGTGATACACAGATTAGTCATTGCCTGTTGTCTTTCTTTTTTTTTTTTTTTTGTACAGTAAAAGAAGCTTTGAGCCCTATAAAATTTAACAGATGGGGTCTCCCAGAAGTAAATCCAGAAACTATGCAAACCAGTGAACCATGGGTGTTTGCAGGTGGTGATGTTGTTGGCATGGCTAACACTACAGTGGAATCAGTTAATGATGGGAAGCAAGCTTCTTGGTTCATTCACAAATATATACAGGTAGGCATTTGTCATCAATTTCAGTTAATTTTTTCCAGTGGATAAGTACTTCTTTATTTGTTTTTGCTATTCATTCATATGAGTTTTCTATAAGGTGTATAATAACGATATATGAAATATGTCACTTAGATATTTACTTGGATAAAATTTTTTAAATGTGGACTGGATAGTAGACCTATTTAGTTGATTGAAAATCCATTGTGCATTTCTACCAGTGGAATGCCATGAAGTCATTACTCGTGCTGAGTTCAAAGTATTTGTCAATGGCTTAAAGACATAGATAATACATTTATCAAATCTGGATGGTACACAATATGGTAGGAGATAGAATCTATATTCCTAATGATCTTAAACAGTCCAGAAAACTATGTTGTCTATATATTTGGATCAGATCAGGTCCTAGTCAATTCCCAAATTATATGCACCTAAGTGGAAAGAAAACAAATATTTTATAAATTTCAATTGTAATTATTTTTTTTACTATTTAGTTTTGTGATACCAATGCAAAATGTAAAAATGATAAACTATAAAGCTGAACATACTCTGGGGCAGTAACGGTGTGGTCTTGCTGGAAAAAGCCATAACTGCATCTCAGTTGTCTTACTTTTTGACTACATGCTCTGCGTTGTTCTTGCTCTGTAATGTAATTAAATGTAGATACAGTGACCTCATTTACATAAAATGTTTCTGGAAAAGTTTGCTCTTGTTAGTAAAATTCTTATTCTCTCTTCCCTATTCAGGAAAGACTCTCTATTCACAATATGCTTTCTGCTTCTCTTATGGTTTCTTTTGTTTGTTTCTCACATGCTAAAAACATTCACTTTGTCTTTAATGTTTCCTTGAATATTTTTTTCCTCTTTGTCATGACCATTTAGTCTATTCTGGTTGTCTTCCTACTGTTTCTGTAACTCATGAAGAATACCTGTCTACTAAGTAGGGCCTAGACTTGGTACTGATTACATCATATTTTTTATGTTCAATTCACATACCTACTCCCGCCTCACCCCTGACATCTCTGACTAGGGAGGCTTGAGATGTTTGGGTCTGGGCCAGAGTGTGGTGTCCCAGAAATGTAGGGCTCTAAGAATGGGTGTAACCAGCTTATGGGTTTTGCATGGAGACAAAGGTGTGATTTAGGAAGTGTTTTGGGGGAGATGACAAATCTAAAATTAAGAACGCTGTTCAAATCAGTCAAATCGAAAGAGACTAGACTATTGAGAGAAGGGAAAAAGGAATGCAATTTTAACAAACAGAAACCTGGAAACCGAAATGAGAAAAGTTGGTGAGTGGCTCCGCTCCGGTCTCTGCAGCACCTGTGCTTTGGAGGGTCTCCCTGGCCTCAGAAACACACAGAGGGAGCAGGTCAAGACAACTACCTGGGGTGGACTTCTGCTTTGGCTCCTTTTGCTCTATCTGCCCCAAAATTTATCGCCCTATATTTTTATGTTCTCATTCTACTTGTATTTTCATAGCACTCTGAAGGCTCCCAATCGCACCTCCTTCCAACTAACTCCCTAATGTATATCTCCAGTAGGGCACTCTCTTCCATGATCCAGCCATCTGCTGAACATCCTCACAGACATGTCTAACGTACACTTCGAATTCACTGCTTTTAAACCAAGCACACCCTCTCAAACCTTTCCACCTTGAGTATTTAGCATTTTTGATTCCTAGATTCAAATCCTCTAAATCAGTGGTCCTCAGACTTTTAGATTACTCAAACTAATAAAGTTTTCAAAATCAATTTGGAAACCAAAATGAGGCTGATGGCTTCTTATTTTATTGAGCAATAGCATTAAAACAAACACTCAAACACATGAAATTATAACACTAACATATATAGAAAAAGAAAGTTTATGAGGAAAGTAGGAAACAACACAGTCTCAAAATAAGAGGTGGTACTTAAGAAAACACAGTTGAAAGATTTACACTAGTGTGTTCACACACATACTTTTCTCATTATAAAACAGCACTGCTGTACGCAATTTTATTTATGAACTATTTATCTAAATTTTCGTTTATTCTTCCCTCTCTCGTATATAGCTGGTCAATTCTATCTCTGTAAAAACTCTTTCATACACTTATTTTAATTCACTTATTTTTTGCATAGAGTACAGTTTTTGGTTGACCAGATATCTCACTGACCAACCTGTTAACTCCTTGAAGAAATGAAAGTGGAATCAGGAGATAAGAGAACAGGCTCTTGTGCTAGGCCAGATGAAACCCAGTGAATGTGTGAATTCAGTTTGCAGGAGTGAAAATGGTAGGAAGGCAGAGATGCTGAAGAGATTTGGAAAGGTAGAACTGAACATGGGTCAGTGGAGAATGGCATATGTTAACGTTTTTTCTGAATATTTAAATCCATTTATAGCTTTTAAATTAAAATACATAGAGAATATTTATTTTGTGATGATTGTGGTTTTGTAGTGCTTCACAATTATCACTTGAAAGGATTCTTGAGGGTATTTTTCTTTTGACTTCGCTGTATCTTTTTACTTCCCTGAATCTGATAAATGTGTATTAAAAAAAAATAAGCCTTCGTTTTACTTAGCTTCCACTTACTCATGAAAGGAAGGAAACAGACTTTTAGGAATGATGAAGAAAGTGCACGTGCTTTAAAAATACGTATTGCTAGGAATAATACTGTTGGAAATATAAAGTAAAAAATTTGTGACCAGTAAGAGTTTTGGATTTGGCCGAAGGATTCAGACTTGTCAAACAAAGTGTTGAATTACATTTTAAAAATCGAGTAGAAATGGAAGGTAGGTAAAATCTCCTGCCAGGATGTTGGATGCAAAGTGTTAAGCAGTGATAAGACTAAAAAGAAACATGTCGACAAAGTGGGATTTTTCTCTCGCCACACTGTCATTAACTTAGTTCTGGCCTCTATCGCCTCTTAAAATTGCCTCTACTTTCTCCCTTTTCAAATCCAATGCACCTACATTGCAGCCAGAGTCATCTTTCTAGAATACAAGTTTGATCCTAATTCCTTCATTTAAAACCTTCAGAGGCTCCTCTTTGCGCTCAAGATAAAGCCCAAACTTCTTAGCTTGTGATGCCAGTTTGAATTTCCCCCAACATACCAGGATTTCTCCTGAGTCTGGGCTTTCTCCTGCTCAACCCATTTCATCTGTCTGGATCCTACTGGATCCTTCGGGTTTTGCTTGTGTGTTCTATGGCACCCTAAGTTTCCCTGAATGAAGCCTGTTTACTGGTGTGTCTCTACACAAGCCAGTGACCATGCTGTTTGTTGTTATACCCTCAGAATAAAGAGTGTATTCATCTATTAAATACGAAAAATACATAGAGTGAGTTAATTCATTTTAAAGGAATTTAAAGAGTTAAGAAAACTAATGGTTTTGTTATATAAGTTCGTTATCACTGTAAATTAATAGGATTTTCTTACAAATGTAGCATTTGTTAAGAAAAATTTCTGTCATGTCTGACGTGTATTCATGAAGGAAGGTTTACAACACCTTGTTGTATGTTTTATATTAGTTTTTTGTTGGAAATGTAACACTAGATCGTGTACTTTAAAAATGATTTAATACACATGTAGTATTAATTCATGCATGCAATCATTGCAAAAGGATATTTAGAATTTCTTTGTAGTATACTTTTTAAGATAAATGTGATTATTTAAAGACATCCATGTTGGGATTTCAATAATTCCCATGGTTGTCTGATGAAAACTTCACCTAAATTTCATTATTTAATATGATCAATTATCACTTATTGAGTACCAGCTGTTGGGCCCAACATTTGACTTTGGGAGGGTACCAAAGTGAATAAATGAAGAGAGGTATAATATAGTGGTTAGAAATTTGGGTTCTGAATTAAACAGACCTGATTTCAAACCCAGTTCCAACATTTTCAAACTGTATGACCTTGGGCAAGTTACTTCATTGCTCCAGAACATGGTCTTCTCAAGGGTAAATAAGTGATTCATTAATAAATGAGCAATAATAATTAGATTTGCTACCCTATTGAGTTGCAGGGAAGATTATTTAAATAATTTATGGAAAGCTCTTAGTAGAGCGTCTGAGCTATATATGTTTGTTGTTTGTTTTGTTGTTGTGGGTTATTAGAGATAATTCCCTTTGGATTGCTAAAATGGTATCAGAGACAAATTATAAGATAGGAGATTTAAATGGAAAGCCAAAGTGTAGGATTTTAACAGATGAAGATTGAAAGAAGCTATTTCAGGTAATTATAAAGGCATTTTATTTAGCCATTCATTTATTCATCCATGTACATCTATCTGTCTATCCATGTAGTCATTCATACATGGATTCATTCACTCATTCAATAAACAATAAAATTAAAAACATAATAATGCTATCTTTTATATTACTAATATAATAATCACTAATCACTAGGTTTATAAATGTGAATTAAAACATAAAACCTGCCATTAATAATCACACAGTCTGTAGGGAAGAAAGTTGTATAAACATAAATCTAATACAATATAATAAATGTAATAATAAAAACTGTAAAGGGACAGGGATAGCATGGGAGAGATAATGATGGATTCTGTCTGGATGTGGGTATCAGAAGGTGGAGTCAGCAAAGGGTTAAAAAAAATCAAGATGCGAATAAAGACGGAGAATAAGGAAAATTGGAAGAATATTGAGTGATTTGAATTGCTGGAACTTAGAGAGGGCTCTTGGATATGATTGTATAGCCTGCTTACTGTGCAAGGGGTACCCAGACAAGGGTACCAGCTGGCTGAAATCCAGACCAAGTTCCACTCACCCACATATTGGTACCTTTTGTTGTGCCACTTCTATTCAGAGGAAGGAGCGCCTTCCTTGAGTTTTCACAAAGGTGCCGTCTGCTTGCTCTGTAAGCCTTGCACCTGTGTGGCAGCTTCTTTTTATTTCACCAAAAGGCAGTCAGGGCTACTGGAGGCCCTGAACATAGAGAATACATAGGAAAAATGGGAGAAAGGATCTGAATTAAACTGGAATTAGAACATGATAAGAATACTTAGGTTA